ATAAATTCATGTAAACTTATTAAATAATTTAAAATTTGTTAAAAATACATCAAGTTTTTGAAAATTTAAACTGTTTTATGTATTATTTTTCTTTCATTATAATTCTTTGTAAATTTGATTGCTATTACATCATAATCAATATCTTCAAATACTACTGTAATTAAAGCGCTTGAATTTAGTAAATTAACAGTATAAATTTGTTAATTAAGAAATTATTGAAACATTTTCAAATAATGCAAGTTTGGTTGCATAAGTCAAGAGAGAAAGTTTTGAGTTGGTAGCTGTAAATAACAATTGTGTGAAGTTGGTTGGAAGCCATTTGTGATGCGGTTTACATCGAATCTCTAACGTTGTGATTTTTTCCGCGCGAACGTGTACTTTTTTACCGAAACCAGTGTATTTTTCGTGGACCGATTGCTGAAATCAAGCGATTCAGGTAAAGTTTAACTCAGACGAAGACTCTGCGAGCTCATGCAAAGATATTTACGAACCTAACCTCTGCAATGTGTTTTTGTTTGTTAGCATGGACATCAGACCGAACAACACGATATACATAAACAACCTGAACGAGAAGATCTCGCAGGTGGAATTGAAGAAGTCCTTGTACGCGATCTTCTCACAGTTCGGGCAGATCCTTGATATCGTAGCCATGAGGACTTTGAAGCTACGAGGGCAGGCTTTCGTTATCTTCAAGGAGATTCAAAGTGCTACTAGTGCTCTACGATCAATGCAAGGATTCCCTTTCTACGATAAAGCTATGGTAAGTTGATCTTATTATTATGTTTTTTTTTTAAAATTGATTGTTTGTTTTTTTTGTAGAGGATACAGTATTGTAAAACTGATTCAGATGTTATTGCGAAGATGAAGGGAACGTTTACGGAGAGGCCTAAGAAGGTGAGACCGCCTCCATCGAAGGACGACGAGGCGCCAAAGAAGAAGAAAAAGAATAAGGACCCGAACAGGGTGCCTGGTGGCAACAACGCCGAACAACCTCCGAATCAAATCCTCTTCCTCACCAATCTGCCAGACGAAACCAGCGAACGGATGCTCTCCATGTTATTCAATCAATTCCCCGGCTTCAAAGAGGTGCGTCTCGTGCCCAATCGACACGACATCGCCTTCGTCGAGTTCGAGAACGAGCTGCAATCCGGCGCCGCCAAGGATTCGCTTCAGGGCTTCAAAATCACTCCAACGCACGCCATGAAAATCTCCTTCGCCAAGAAGTAGACATCCATTGTTTTGTCAATTTAGGGTCGAGTCAACTATTTTTAAGCATTAATAATAAAACAAACAAACAAAAAAAACGAAGAGAAAAGGCGATTATTTCCTTTTGAATTTGTAGAATATATTTATTTTTAATTCTTATTGGATTTACCATAAAAAATATCAATTAATTAAACTAATCAATTACTTCTCTTTTTTATATACAAACAAAAAAAAATCTTATTTTGATCATCATCACAACGAAACAAAAATCAATTGATAACATATAATAGTTAATTATTATCACTTATTATTAGAATTATTCGCTTAACTTAATAATGATTGAATAGCTGCGATGTAAAATATTTATAATTTATACACGAGTCGTTATCACATTTAAAAAAAAAAAGGGATAAATAAAAATTAGGGGGTTTAAATTTGATTTTGTTCTGAAACGTGTGCTTCTTGAAGATACGCATGCTAGATATAAGAGATGTAAAAAAAAAAGCGTTGGCGTCTGTTGTAGCGGGCCAGAACGTTCTTTTGTTTCCTGTGTTTTTGCACGGCAGCCGCGATACTTAAAAAATTAAGTTAACTGGAAAGTACTGAAGATCCTTAAAGCTAGTTTAGATGCTCCCTCGTGTAGCAGAGCCACCTTCGCAAAGCGTACAGATAACGTCTAGCCCTCGAAATGTATTAATCGTCGTCGATGACGAAACCGGTGCGCGCCTGCTGCTGGTGCTGATTCCTCTGCAGAATGTTCAAACATTGGAACAGGCAATGCAGTGAAGCGGCCGAAGTGGCCTTGAGCAACAGAAGATTGGGATCGGTGAAGAACGACGCACTGGAAGACTCTAAGGCTCTGCAAAGAGTCGTATCAGCCAACTCGGTCCTCTGCAATTGAGCTTTGGCGCAACCGATAGCGTCGAGCACAGCCAGATGCTCCCTAGGTGGTAACGGAGTGCTGTTCACACTAATCGACTGAAAAACATTTCTTTAATTACAAATTCAATTAAAACAGATAATTAAACCTTCGTATGTGACTCAGCCACAGCCCTCAATCCGTTAACCCACTCCTGCCTGGCCCTCGCATCCGATGCCCTCAACTTAAGCATATCCCCAGAAGCACAGTTCACTGTGAAAGTCTTCGAATCCTCCTCACTCGGACAGATAACAGCACCGGCCAGATGCACTGACCCCCTCGGTATAGCCCCATCCGGTTTCTCTCCTTCGCACAGATAATAGTGCAAGTGGCCAGAGCTACCATCGACCATAAAGTACCTGTACTGCCATCCCTTCATAACATTCGTGTACTTGTAAAGTTGCCCCGAGAATTGTCGAGGTTTCATCGTCTGCAAGTCCATCTTTGCGAATTTCACGCACGCACGAATTTCAATAACATCCAAAAAAATTGGGCCCCCCTTTAAATATGAAAAAAAAAAATGTACACACTCAAAATTTTAACCTAAAATTAACTGTCAATGTCACAGTAATGACTAATAGATAATGTGGAATCAAAAAGGAAACTGATAAACTTATTTAAATTATCTAATTAGTCACCTATCTCATTTGAATACTCGCATCCAGTCATTATCGCAGTAATTCCCATTAATTATTTAACGATTCATGTCGTGCCATCTATTAGGAATTGCGAAAAGCTGAAAGTACATTAATCGACCGTCATTAATTAATTTAAAATTGAATTATTAAATTAATTAACGAAGATCCGATATTAATTAGTATACATACTGAAAGGTCATAGATTTATAATCAATATACAATTTAAATGCTATAATTAAAGTGCATGGTAATTGGGTAATTGAAGAAAAGCTGAAAACACTTGTTAACAAACTTTTATTTATTGTTTAAGTTTGATAAGTTGTAACAAACACACGACAGTTACCATAAACTTACCAGTATTATATAAGAAAGTTCATACATTTGTCTTTAATATGCGTTTTTAATAATGCAATTAGCATGCGTGGTTGTTGATTAATTAAACAAAAGGTGATGACACTTCTCGTCACTCTCTTATTTATTACCCAACTTTAACAGCTTATAACAAACGAACCACGAAAACTACAAATTTGCTTATACATTTATTGAAAAGTTCATAATTTTGTCTTTAAAATACATTTTCAATGATCTAATTAACATTAGTTGTTCTCGAGTAAAACGAATAAAAAATAAGCCATTTTTTGTCAAAGTACTATTTATTGGCTAACTTTGATAATTTATAATAAACAAACCACGAAAACCACAAGCCTACTTGTAGATTTATTGAAAACTTTATAATTTTTACTTTAATATATCTTTAATATATATTTAAAATGAGCAAATGAGTGGTTTTTTAAGAAACAAAAAGATCAAGACACTTCAAATAAAAAGTCCTATTTATTGCTCAACTTTGACAGCTTATAATAAATGAACTAAGAAAGTCACGAAGCTGCGAGTAGATTTTTTGGAAAATTCATACTTTTATCTTTAAAATACATTTTGAATGATCTAATTTGCAAAAGTGGTTATTGAGTAATTAAAGAAAAGCTGAAAACACTTGTTAACAAACTCTTATTTATTGCTTAAGTTTGATAAGTTGTAACAAACACACGACAGTTACCATAAACTTAGCAGTATTATATAAGAAAGTCCATACATTTGTCTTTAATATGCGTTTTTAATAAGGCAATTAGCATGCGTGGTTGTTGATTAATTAAACAAAAGATGATGACACTTCTCGTCAATCTCTTATTTATTACCCAACTTTGACAGCTTATAACAAAGGAACCACGAAAACTACAAATTTGCTTATACATTTGTTGAAAAGTTCATAATTTTGTCTTTAAAATACATTTTCAATGATCTAATTAACATTAGTTGTTCTCGAGTAAAACGAATAAAAAATAAGCCATTTTTTGTCAAAGTACTATTTATTGGCCAACTTTGATAATTTATAATAAACGAACCACGAAAACCACAAGCCTACTTGTAGATTTATTGAAAACTTTATAATTTTTACTTTAATATACATTTAAAATGATCAAATGAGTGGTTGTTCAAGAAACAAAAAAAAATCAAGACACTACAAATAAAAATTCTTATTTATTGCTCAACTTTGACAGCTTATAATAGATGAACTAAGAAAGTTGCAAAGCTGCAGGTAGACTTTTTGGAAAAATCATACTTTTATCTTTAAACTGCATTTTCAATGATCTAATTAACATTAGTTGTTCTCGAGTAAAACGAATAAAATATAAGCCATTTCTTGTCAAAGTACTATTTATTGGCCAACTTTGATAATTTATAATAAACGAACCACGAATATCACAAGCCTACTTATAGATTTATTGAAAACTTCATAATTTTAACTTTATTATACATTTACAATGATCAAATTAGTGGTTGTTTAAGAAACAAAAACAAATCAAGACACTACAAATAAAAACTCTTATTTATTGCTCAACTTTGACAGCTTATAATAAATGAACTAAGAAAGTTACAAAGCTGGGACTAGACTTTTTGGAAAAATCATACTTTTATCTTTAAAATACATTTTGAATGATCTAATTAGCAAACGTGGTTATTGAGTAATCAACAAATTAGTATTACGAAAAATGTATTCATTTTCTATCTATAAATTTCTATTTACTAATTACTAAGTTAATGTTTCCTTAAAGATTAATATATAAAGTTAAATTTGTAGATTGCTGCTGTTGAAGTACCGAAGTGAAATCATAGGAGTCTCTCAGTGTACTGAAGAAACCATCCAACTGAAGACTGCAAAATCGATCGATTTCCAAACGTTCGATTCTCTTATTTAATTTCAACGATGTTTGTACCTGAACTCGTTGCACACATTCGAAGCAGTTCTCTAGCTGCATGTAAAATATTGATTTACCTTTTTTACACACTCTTTCTCTTCACGTATAACATACACGCATTAACGGTGGATTATCTTTGAGCAAATACTCAATTTGTGTATTTAATAAAGCAAACAGACGACGGTAGTAGCCCGCGCGTTTATTTGCCTACATATGTAATTCCGTGTCACACGACGCAACCGGCCCTCTTGTTATCTTTTAAGACTGTCCAATCGGATCGCATCCGACGATAACAAACAAACAAACAAAAACAAACAAAACAAAATTCAGTTTATATGCATACTTATATAATAATAATAATAATCATGATGATGATGATACTAATACTAATAATAATAATAAAAAAATATATATGATATAGACGTGTTTGCGTTTGTATCGACAGCACATAATGTTGTAGTGATTTGTTTGATCGAGCAGATAAAAACGTAATCTCAAATTATATTATATTAAATAAAACGGTTAATGATTTACGATGTGCGAAAAGCGTGTATGTGTGTGCATATAGAGGATGTGTGGAATTGAAAAGAGAGCAAGAGTGTGAAAAGGGGTTGAAAAGAAACCTAAGCCTAAAACCTAAAAACCTCAGCTGTCGTTCGCGTTAAAGAATAAAGAAAGATAGAGAGAGAGAGAGAGTGGAAAAAAAAAGGGGTGTTCGTTGTGGATCGTGTAGATGGGGTGGGCGACGAAAGGGTAATGAGCTGTGCTGATTGAATACGCCCAGTCACACGGAAACATTATCTATCCCGCCCCGATGCCCGATTCTTTTCAGACTTTTCAGCCCTGAAAACGTATTATTCTATCTCTCTCTCTCTTGCACGTCGATTAATGCCTCCATTCTGCAGTAGTGTGCGTAGAGCTTAACTCTCCCTATCGGAGCCACAGCACTCTCGGATCATAGAAAAATAAAAGAGTTGCAATTAGTTGGAAGCAGACAACATTAATTGTATTGCATATACAATAGGGATAGTGTAGAGAAACATATGTTTAGCACCTTTAATAACGTACATACTTAAAGCTCCAACTGTCACCGATGATTGCTACAAACTATTATATAATTATGAAACAACATTTCTATTGTTGCTAAGAAGAAATGAACTAATAGGAAACATTTTGTAAATTTTCTGCAGAAATTACAATAAATATAATAAAAATGTTGGAGAAATGTTTAAAATTGAAGAGATTTCTGATAATTATTCAAGATTTTGAATATTTTATATGTTTTCATTCGTTATTAATTTTCTTTTACAAAAAAAATCTCTGAAATTTAGTAATTTTATAAATTAGATTTGTTTTTCAACCTGAAATATTTTAAATTTTAAATTAAATACGGGAATGTTATTAGTTATAAAAATCAGTGAATGTTCTATAGATCAGTGGTTTCCAAACTTGATGTTACTACGCCTCAAAAGTATGTAATCATTTGGCGCCTCCCCTCCACCCCACCATTTCATAAAAGGAACGCGTATTACAGAAATATGGATAAGGGCACAGGAATGTATCTATACTTGATGGATTCCCCAAACATTCAGCTTTCATATGTATCTTTTGGATTCATTCTATGTATTACAGTTTTCGAGAAAATCGATAAAATGTGAAAACACTGCTTTTTCGAGCATTTTTTTAAACTTTGAACACGAATTACAGCCAAACAGATAAAACCACAGTAATATATAAATACTTGCTACATTCCCCAAA